CAATCCATTTGTGCATAGCAACCTTTCTAGGTACTAGGCAAATTGATCAGCTTTGTGTTAGTCCTTTACAATGACTGGATCAGTTTTTCCATGATTATGAAAGCAGACTACACTATAATGGTCATAACTAAACTACCGTAATCAGAGAAGTCTTGCTAGTAACAATGGTCTACAGAAAGGTTTACTTAACAGCAAATCTTTGGAGTTCTAAACTCAGATGAACTAAAGTGTGACCACTGCATATATTGCCATGGAAATTTTCTTCAAAATAATTTAGTTGTCTTTTCCTATAGGTTTTTTGCTCTTAAATATGCTGCAGATGCTGCTTGCACCGTATTATGGGTAGATCAGGTAATTCAGCAAAAAGAAGCAGCTTGATGACAAGCTAGCAACTGCTTTGTGTTAAATTTAAATTCAAACCTTTCTTTAAAAACATCTTTTCATATAAGTTCCTTGACGAGGTCCAGCGTTCAAATTGCAGATTATAATGGCAAAACCAGCTGGTGGTCCGAAAGAGAGAGCAACCTGCAGGAATGGATGAGGTCTAGCATCTGCACTGAAGTTGATCAATTGTCTTGATATTGTATCTCATTGAGCTGGTTCTGAACTTGTTTATGCATCTCTTGTTTTCTTTTGGATGCCTAAGAACTTTGGCTTGGAAATTTTTCTCTTTTTTTTTTTTTTTAAATTTCAAAAAAGAAAAATTTCTTGTTCTTTCTTCAACTGTTGAATCTCTTCAATGACTGTAATTCTCTACTGAAAATCTGACGAATTATTTTCATTGTGTTAGTTGGTTCCATAGCAAAAGTGAAATCCGAGTGTGATGTGATACCCCTTATACATTGGAACGAGCATGTCGTAGATCCCAAGGATGGTAATTTTATGTGTCTGAAGTTTACAATAAATTGCCAGATCTAGTTATTGTTTTGAGAAATTAACTTGGCAAGTTCTTCAAACTCTACACTTTTTCCATTTCTGAAATTTTTTGTCCCTTTTGGGTCTCTGGGATATGGCGGTGGATTTCATACATTGAGCAGTATGTTATACCATAACTAAGCCTTACAGTTGCCTTCGGAGTTTTTCTAGTACTGATTGTCTGATGGTGAAATTTTAGAATTCAGAAGGGCAAGGCTAGAAATGGATCAGTCTATTTTTTTCAGTGAGCTTCTATACAAGGTTTTAATTTCTAATTTTAATTCTAAATCAAAATTTTTAAATTAGTAAATTTTAATTTGAATAAAATTTTATTACTATAATGCATGTGCTTTAATTTTAAGTGGTGGCACGTTTTAAAGTAGCACGAATTTGATTGACAATTGCAGTTAGAAGGGTAAGTGTTTGGTAGTTTAATCTTACTTTTAAAGAAATTTGAGACTTGTCTTTAAGATTTTTCTTCATTAAAAGGGATTTAGAATTACTCTTGGCAAGAAGTTAAGACTTCCCTAGGCAGGGATTGGAACTCTGAAAATTGATGAAAGTCTCAAAACTTCTTGCAATTACTCTTCTTTTCTCTTTTTTCTACCTCTTCTTCTTCCATCAAATAAATGATCTATATTTGTCGGCAAAGGAATCTTGCCAAATGATCTCAACTACCCTTCAATTTAAAGATAATTTGATCATTTCATAAATAAATTTAATTTAAATAAAAAGAAAATCTTTTAATATTTCAACCTCCAAGATTTTGAGGGATATTATTATTTTAATTTAATTAATTAATTTTTTAATGTCCACGATGTGATTTTATTTTCTTTATGAATTCAAAAATCTTTTAAAATACAACAAAATTAATCAAAAACTCTTTCAAAATTAGATATTAAATAGGTTAAATACTAATTTTGGTCTCTCAATTATTTTTTATATTTTTTTTTTTATCTTTCAACTTTAAAAACTGCACAATTTTAATTCTTTCATTAATTAACACAAATAACTAGGTCCATGTGATATTTTTCTTTTTTTTTTAATAACACGTCAATGACAAATTATATAATTAATTTAGTGAATGATGTCGAATCGTTAAGTGGGATTCAATTATCATTTTTAATTTTACTACCCATTATTTATTTTTTACTAAATTTTAATTATTATATCAAATATATCCTAAATTAAATAAAAAAATTTTAAAAAATATATTATCTTCATTTATACCATCTAAAATGTAATAAATAATAATAATAATAATAAT